AGTGGGGAGCTGAGCTGAGTGAAGCCAGGATGGCGAGAGTAACGAGCAACAGGAGAGAGTCCACCATCTGGGGTGGAAAAGGTTATGAGGCTGCCTGTCTGGGGAGCTCCCTGCCAGTACCAGCTGTGATGACACGAGGGACTTCTCATACCGATTTAGCTCCTGCTGTGGGGCCAGGGCCACTTGCGTCCTGCTCCACCATCATCACCGGAGGCTGCAGCGGGTCTGGGAATGGGAGACCCCAGGCAGGCATTGACCTTGGCTCAGCAGCCATCTTCTCTGCCAGGGGACCCAGCTTGGGGCCCTATGCCAACTTGCTCCTGCATGAAAGATAATGATTTTATCAGGGGATGGAAGAGCCGGGACTACACCACACTGCCCCAGCTCCATGCCCAGAGGGGTGCTGCGGTTGTGTCCCGCTCCCCTGCCTTGACATAACTATCCATCCCTTTTCTTCTACCCGCTGTCTACAGCACTTGCACGACCCCCCCAACCCAGCTCCCATAACGCTGCAGGAAGCAGGCACCAGCTGCCCCTGGGCTCAGCCCCAGCACAAGCGGGTGCAGCTCCTGCGCAGAGCGTCTGACCCAGAAGCAGGCAGGGGCATCACCGCTAACGTATGCACGTGCAGTGGGCACAGGTGCCCCTGTCCCCCAAGCCCTGCCAATGCCCGACCTGCAGCCCGCTCGCTCCTCCTCCTGCCAGGCCTGGTCTGCAGCCGGGGGAGGGAGAACGGAAGGAACTGGCTGGATTTCGAGGCAGCATCACGTCCTGCTGCAGCTCCGCCCTGGCCCTGCCAGCCCCCCCAAGAGGGAGACTGGCAGGGAAAGGTGGCTTCAGGGCAGGGGTAGCGCAGCCCCCCTTTCCCCACGGCTGGCACCAGGGAGCCCCTCGGCTCCATCCTTTCCCAGGCCAGGCGGGGGTGAGATGCAGGCCACGCCAGACACAGGGGAGACCAGGCGTGTTGGGGGCACCGGTCCTGGATGGACTCCAGCTGGTAGCCTCCTAGATGGGTTAGGTGGCCGAGCCATGCCTCACCTCTTCTTAAACAGCTTTTTTTTTAGAAAAGATGCAGTGCTGCAAAGTGTTGGCTCCAGCAACCGGCATCTCTGGGTCTGCCAGGGCACATAGGGAGGGTGTCTGCTGCTAGCCCCCAGCCCAGGGCCGGTGGGGGAAGCAGTCCCTGCCCTGGGGAGGGGAAAAGACGCCCCCCAGAGCTGAGCGCACAGCAGTCATCTGGAAGAGGCCTCCGCAGAGCAGGGTGGTGCCGGCGTCAGCCCCCTGCTCCTCCTCCAAGCGAGCCCGAGCATCCCCCGCGCCGCTCCTCCGGGGCTCCGGCCTCAGTTTCCCGTGCTGCAGCCGCAGCCCATTGCCCCGAATCCCGCGGCCGGTGCCCGGGGGAGGAGCGAGGCAAGCGGCCGCGGCGCTTTTCCTGTCCCGCCTCTTCCTCCGCGTCCCGCGGTGCAGCGCCCGCACCCGCAGCCGGGAAGGTAGGAGCGGGGCCGCGAGACGGGAGACGGGCTTTGCAAGGGCTGGGGCGTCTCACCCCGCTGCATGCTAGCTAGGACACCCGGGTGGGAAGGGACCGCACCTCTGCTCCCAGCAGGACCAGCCCCAGCGCAACCCCCCTCCTACATTGTCCCTAATACCCCAACTCAGCCTCCCTTGCTGCAGCTTGAGCCCATTGCTCCGCGTTGCGCCGCTGAGACCAGCCCGGCTTCGTCCTCCGTGCAACCCCGCTTCAGGTTGGGACTCGTAGACTTGCCAAAAAAAAAAAAAATGAGAAAAGCGTGCTTCGTGATGCAGAGAAAGCCAGTAGGGGGTTGTTTATTGAGGAAGGGAGTGATATGAATGGCAAATGGGGGGTTATTATGCACCGGTTTCTGAATCCGGCCTTCCAAAACCTGAAATATTGGAGAGGAGCAAGGCCCGCGGCGGGGGGCGGGACCCAGGCCACTGTCCCTTCCAAGCTAAGTGATGTGACGCAGGCCCCTCGGGACAGCGGGCCAAACCCCGCCAAGTAAAGCTATAAAAGGGGGCAGTAAGGGCACGTCACTGATCGCTTGGGGCAGCTACAAGACGAGCGCCGAGACACAGGCCACTGGGCACTGGTGGTGCGACCCAGTCAATGGGTGCATCTCCATGAGACGCTTACTAATAACACTGCAGTAACGTACAGGGCAAACCCCATGCAAATACGCTGCTGCGCGGTGGGATTAGGCTACACCAAAAAACCATGCCCGGCAGCAAGCACAAATTCCCGCGCATTGAATTAGTGCTTGGTTAAGCAAGCACTCGCCTTAATGCGCCGTAAGTAATGCTTATTAATGAACGTGTCGGTGCTCCCCGTGCCCCCGCACTGATGTTCCCTTTGAGTTTCCCGGAAGAACCAAATGGGATGGTTCTGCCTTTAGCAACAGGTTGAGGTGAAGCTTTCGGGTGTGACGCTGATTCTTTGGGGCTGTTTTCTAATGTCCGGGTTCAACCCCACCAGGGTACCTGGTACCCAGTCACGCTCTTTTTGGGAGGGGTGTAAAAGCATCAACTGGACGCACCGCTGCCATCAGCTTGGCAGGAGCCACCGCTGCCCTGTACACAGTGGCCGTGTTTGCTGCTAAGCCACTGCTGAACACACAAGTTTGCTGGCAGGAACAATGAATGCAAATGCAATGGTAGGAGGGGGGAATTTGGGAGCTGTGTTGGTCTGAGACAAAATCAAATGCAAAACTCAAACTCTTGGTTCAGAGATGATACCTTTTATTAGACCAACTAAGAAATCGCAAAAAAAAAAATTTTTTTTAATCTTTTCTTCGCAAGCTCTTGGGCGCACGCATCCTTCTTCAGACTGAGGGCAAATTTAAAGATGGTAAAAGTCCCCATAGATGGAAAATAATAGAAAATAGGTTGATTTTCTATCTGTGGGGACTTTTACAATTGTAAGGAGGGTGGCATTTCATGCATCCCTTGCACACAGTAAAGAAGAGGCCTTCTCTGCCCTCATCCACAGCGAGCGCTGAGAAATTCAGAAGGCAGATGAGATTCTTTAGGTAAATGTGGTATCTTTTATAAAATAAACTAAATAGTTGGAAAAAATTGTTCTTTGCAAGCTTTTGGGTACAAACACCCTGCTTCAGACACAAGTGTTTGTACCCAATAGCTTGCAAAGAACAATTTATTTTCCAACTGTTTAGGTGGTCTCATAAAAGATATCACTTTTACCCAAAGAACCTTTTTCTGCCTATGCCCTTAGACCAGCTTCAACCAACAACCCTAGAGAAATTCAGAAAAAAAGTTAGAGCGCGCAAAATCACTGGTTTCTATTGACTTGAAGTTTGTTGTAATAGCTTGGCAGATAATGCTGGCAGCACATTAATGAAATAGCTTTTCCTCCCCTCACGGCAGCATTTTAATGTCAAGTGAAGTCCCGATTTATTTTTCTTTTACAAAGCTGTTTAAACTGCTTCACAAAATGTGCAGATCACGATGAAATGGCGTCTGCTAAATGTTCTTGGTGAGTGTTTCTAAATGGCTCTGCTTCCCAGTACTGGTGAGCGCTACTTAAATGGTGGCAGCAGAGTAATGATGGAGGCATGATGGTTCGAAAGTTAGAGGTAAGGATTTCCTAGGGTGATCTCTATTAGTGGACCAGCTTTGTAGTTGGGATAGTTAGCCACGTTTTCGAATGCTTGACATGCTTCATCGGGTCATCAAAAGCTTGTCTAACTTTATCCCAAATATATAGCGGGTCCAAAAATAAGACCTCGCCCTAAAAGACCCGGCAAAGAATGTCTTGCATTGGAAAAGCTTGTTTAACTTTATCCTAACTACAGAGTTGGTCCATTCAAAGGTAAACGCTAAGAAATCCTCGCTATTTAAGTTAATTTGAGCCCTGGGGTATGAATCAATGTTTTTTCTTGTGTTTGTAGTCTGGGCAAATTTTCCCCACCACCCTTGCAGTCTAGGGCTGTATTTACCGCCTCTCCCATGCCCCAACTACGATGGTAAACAGCTATTTTTAAGATGTGCACTTGGCTTCAGAAAAGCTTGTGCTCTCTGTCTCTCGCTCTATACCACTACAAACAAGAGAAAGCGATGGTTCACTCCCCAGGGCTCAAATCTATTTATATAGCAAGGATTTCTTAGGGTTTTTTTCTTTGATTGGACCACCTCTGTAGTTGGGGTAAATTTAAACAAGCTTTCCAGTGCAAGGCATTCTTCATCAGGTCTCTTAGGGTGAGATTATTTTTGGGGGAGACTATATATTTGGGTTAGAGTTGGACACGCTTTTGATGACCCGATGAAGCATGTCTAGCATTCAAAAGCTCATCTATCTTTATCCCAACTATGTAGTTGGCCCGCTAAAAGAGATCACCCTAAGACATCCTTGCCTCCAATTTCTGGACCATCATGCCTACGCCACATCATCATTTGTATGCTACCCTTTAAATATATATATGTATACGTAGATATAGATATATCTATCTATCTTTATCTCTCTCTCTCTATAGCTGTCTCTATTTCTCTCTCTCTATATATATCTATCTATCTGCATTGATCTGTCTCTATCTCTGCCACCTTGCTCTGGGGAAGAGGTGGGGAAGCAGTTGAAAAACAACTCCCATACTCAGAATCTTTAAATTTGCAGGCTTGAAAACAAGCCGGAAATGTGAGGGGCTGGGGTTTTATTTAATGTTTCTTTGGAAGATGGGTAAGGAGGTATCCCCTGCCAGGCGAGCTGCCCCACAAGCCCTTGTCCCAGCCAGTTCCATGTATTGCGGGGAGCAGGGGAGGATGAAATGGATAAAGCTCAAAATCAGATGATCTTTGAGGTCCTTTCCGTTTTATCTTCAGCAGAGGAGATATTTTCACCAAGCTCCCTGCTGTGTGTGGGGATCATATCAAAACCCCCAAAATATTTGCAGCATGGTAGTCACCCCCCCAACACTCCCCCACCAGCTAGAGCTTCACCCCGTAAGGGGAAGAGGGCATAGCAGCCTTGGGCTCGGTCCTACTTTAATGCAAGGACACTCAACCCCAGGTAGGGTCAACGGTTGCCAAACCCCAGTCGGACTCAACCCGCAGGCCGTCGGTCAGATCTAGCCCCCGCCCCTGTGTCATGGGACCCGAAAAAGGTTGCGCACCCCTGCTTTAATGCCTTCAGTCTGTGATGGGGCAGGTTGTTTCTCGGATCTTTGGGGGGAATTCTCTCTTGCTCGACCAACTACAGAATTGGGCTCGAGACAGACAAGCTTTCTAGCGCAAGACATCTCTCTCAGAGCGATCCCTTTTATTGGACCAACTAGATGGTTGGGATCAAGTCAGATGAGCTTTCCAATGTAAGCGCTGCTTCCTCAGGTCTGGTAGGGTGAGATCTTCATGGGGTCTCTGGTCACAAGAGCCAGGCCCAGCATAGGGAAAACACAGCAGAGGGGAAGGAGTGAGAGGAATTATCCAGGGGAGCAGAACACAATTTGCAGAAAAGTAGCTGAGTACTGGGAAATCGAGGACTGGGAAATCAAGGCCTATCCAAAGGGAGCTGGGTCATCTCACCTTTCAGCGGAAAGACTCGATAAGCTGTGATGCGCCGTGAACCCGATATCAGTGTTTAGTCCTTATTTCCTCTCATGCAGCCAGCTGATGAATTTTTGTTTCCGGAAACGGAGCAGTTGTTTCTGGGAGAAACGTGTTAATTGCACACTAGGACTAGGATATGGGATTTTCTTGAGGGTTGCTTGGCACACTGCTAGCAGACCTGATGGGCTCGTCTTCACACAACTCCTCTGTTCCCCAGAGTTGGACTTTGGCTTGTGTCCTTGGGAGATCATCCAGTCCCAGAGCCAAGCAGAGGGGTAGAGATACCCAGGGTCAGGTGAGAAGAGGGGTAAAAGCAGAAGCACTTTCCTGTCCCTTTTTTTTAAGGCTCTGAGTCAACTGCAAGCTCCAAGGAGGAGGACATCTCTCTGCCTGGTTGGTGAGTGGGATTGAAGGCTCGGGGAGCAGGGAGATTTGCAGCAAGAGACTTCCATTGGGAGGGAGAGGTAGCAGACAAGGCAGACAATTGCTGCCTGGATGGGAGACTAATTGGGGTGGTGCAGGAGAGAGATCCAGCCAGCACTGGGGAGCAAAAGCCCATGAGGGTCCCCCCAACCCAGCCAGGGTCAGGACAGCCTCATGAGCATTCATTTTACTTGGAGTAAGCATATGCCTGACTCTTGACAGCCAGTGGGCAATAACCCACCATCCAGTGAATTATATCCCAGTTCCAGTCCCTTTGCACTGCCGTACGATCGAGATGAAAGACAAGTCCGCGGGGATTGCTGCAGAAGCCGGTTGTGTGGAGCTAGAGCTTCAAGGGGCAAATGGTACAATCTGCAAGTATCACCAATCCATCTTCACCTCCAAAAAAACACTTCCCCCACCTCTTTGTTGAGTGGACTCCATTGGAAAAGCTGCTTTCACAAGGTCATCCATCCCGACAGCTCACTGGGGCTGCAGAAGTGAGGATGGCAAGTGCCAGGGAGGAGAGAAGGTAGAGGAAGGTGGGCCTGGGGGGAGGGTTGAAAGCCAGATATAAAGACACAGTAAAACCTGCAATTGGCCATAACTGCACAGAGGCGCACACGTAAGTCAATGTGACTTGTAGGGGAAAAGGCAAAGCAGGCCTTCCCCTCCCTCCAACAGCTGGACACCAAGGCAGCAGCCCTTCCAGTCCTTTTCCTGCTGGACCTTCACAGCATCTGGCAAAGCAAGCTGTTTGCTCACAAAAGCGTAGGCGTCTCTGCTTTAGTCGGTCTATGAGGTACAGATCGTCCCTGCCTTTTGGCTACCTTCTGACTTGCATGGCTTAGTAGGCTGTTTTGACCTGTGATTCGCAACCGGGGTGCATCCAGATCCTTTGAAGGGTGTTGCAAGGTGCAAGGGGATAAGCAGACACCGTTCTTTGGGTAAATGTGGTATTTTTTATTAGACCAACTAAATATTTGGAGAAAAATCATTCTTTGCAAGCTTTTGGGCACAAGCTCCTTTCTTCAGGCATGGGAAGATAAGGTGAGCAGCTAAGGTAGGCTCAGGCTTGTCCCTGCCTGGACAGTCCCCCCACCCCTACTGCCCGGACCCTGTGTAAGGGGGTCAGCACCGTATTATTATAAATTAGTTTTTGAAATTGGGTTTCAGAAATTAGTATAATATTATATAAATTAGTTTCAGAAACTTTCAATTCATGCAAGTTATGGAGTGCCCGGAGGATTGCCTGGAGTCCAAAAAAACAGAGAACCAGTGTTATAGATAGATAGAGCACACAGAGGCAGGCTCTATCTGGGCAGGCTCATAATTGCATCATTTCTCAGGGTGTAACAAAGGTGTTCAAGGCTTGTCACAATCTACACAAAGGAAAAGGAAGGGGGTTGCACATTTCTTGGAACTGCAGCTATAGGATACGGATGGGGGTGTCCTTTAAACGTGCCTTCGCATGTCAACACCAGCCGTACACGAGAGAAGAGTAAAAGCAAGACCTTAAAATACTCGAGCAACTGAACCGAGCAAAAAACTTGCTGGAACCTCTGGCTGAGCTGGATGCAGGCAGCAAGGAGCAACACCGTGCTGCCAAATGGCAAAGTGTTAGTGGAGGATTTGAGCTGCACTGAAGACAACTCGGATGAGAGAGATGCAACGAAAAAGGAAAGGGATGTATTGCAGAAAAACAAGAAGATAAAAATAGGAATGTGGGAACTGAGATGCTATGTAAAATTTGGCACAAAACAGCATGTTTTGAGGCTAAAAGTAAAAGGGCAGGGGATGGGGGGAGGAGTATAAATATAGTGTGTCATGTTAGTGATCTGCACTGGTATAAAAATAGTGGAAAGAAGAAGGGAATTGGAAACCCTCAGGGAAGGATTTCACTGCTCAGGTTGGGAGGGGTTCACCATCCCCGTCCAGTTGAGGGTTAGGTTGAATCTACACATTTTGAAAAAGGAGACAGCAGCAAAGGGTAGAAATGAAGCAACATTTGGGCATCCAGATGTGTGAGAAATTAGTCTGGGTAAATAATAAGGGGTGGGGGGGAGGTTCATGAAGTTAATTTTAGAGCTCGTTTTAAATGAGCTCTAAAATGTCTATGAAATAAATGCATAAAAGGATACATGGGAACTGCAAATGCAACATAGGGATATCAAATATACCAAAGTTATAACCTAGATAGTCTTCCTGCTTGTTTTTTTTAGTTTAAACTGTATTCAGTGTTTGCATGGGTGAGGGTACATTGCTTATGAGAGTATTGGCAGGGAGTGGGTGATGGAGTGGACTTGTAGCCTACCAAATGAATGAAAAGGATGCAAACTGCGGCGGAACAGGTGAGCTGAGCAAATAATTTCTCTAAACTTCACAGACCTGAATGGCCCTGTTAAAAGGAGGAGGGTTTTTCATAAGAAGATTTAGGCCTTGTGCTTTTACAAGAGACCCAGTTGTAGTCTGGGCACCTCAGGGCAGGATGGTTGCAGCCACCACATTGTTCCCCAAGACAGTCAAATAGGAAAGAGGGGCATATTGAATTAACCTTGAGGATGGCAGATGGAGATGATGATCAGAGGACAGCTAAGAGGAAAATTAACCATGGTGCACCCCCAGCAGAGGCTCTTTATGTATTCATGGAGGGGAAAGTTATTTTGGGTAGCACTCTCTCAAGGATTGTATGGCCCTCTTTTCTTCCCCTATAAAAGCAACTCCTGTTTTGTATGTGCAAAGGCATCTTTAAAAGGCAAACCTCTGCATTTGCTTTTCCGAGAGATGCTGTCCTTTCACGCCGTTCCTTCCTTTTTGTCAGTGACAAGTCCTGAAAGACCCTCTTTCCTCCTTAAAAAAAAAAAAAATGTTTTCCAGGCCTGTAGCTTCAGCTTGATCATCAGGTATAATATGAATTGCGATATAGCAAATCTTAAGTCTTCTGAGGAACTGGAGCTGGAATGGGAAAAAAAAACCCATATACATTTAAATTTGCAGAAAAATTCAGTGCAGATTTGGCTTGGTCTCAGGAGCTAAAATTAATTGCGATACATCAGAAATGGTAGGTATTTCTGAGAAACTTGAGCTGGAATATGAAAACCTTGAGTGTATAGAGTTTTCTACCTAAGGGGACTTTTACTATCTTTAATTTCCCCCCAACTTGAAGGGTGTGTGTACCCAAAAGCTTGAAAAGCAAGGGTTGGGGGTTTTTTTTGCTGTTTTCTAGTTGGTCTGATAAAAGGTATCACCTTTGAACCAAGAATTTTAGTTTTGTATTCCTCTAGTTGGCTAAAAATTCAGTGAGAGACCTGGGCATTAACAGAAGAGAAAAGCACAAGGGCCTCTTGAAGGTTAATTATTTATCTGTTGGGTCTACAATAGCAGTGTCCCTCCAAGAATGGGTGGAGCGTGGAGGACAAACATTGCTAGCATGGGCAGACCAAACCCTCATGACAATGAATGTACTCCCCAAGTTTTTCTTTTCATTCCAGCGTTCATCTAAATGTCCACCAGGGAGTACTTGAAAGGCTTGGCCAGCTGGTCTCCTGCACTTCATCTGGAAAAATAAGACAAGGGTAAGTGCATCTCTATTACACAAGCCTGCTAAGATGGGAGGTCTTGCAGCATGCAGTATAAAGGCCTATTTTCATGCAGCTCAGCTGGAGGATGTTATGAGCTGGTGGGTGAAACCTTATTCAAACCTGTAGATTGCTATAGAAAGTGAATGGTTCAAGGGAATGGGTGTAGAGTAAGAGACCAGTTTAGGCCAAAACCCCTTGAAGACCACCTTGGGATCATGAATCATTGCTTTCCTCCAGCCCCTGCTCCTGAGCAACTTGGTAAAAATACAGAGCTCCTCCCTAGAAGTTATTAGACATGCAGCTCTGTATAGGTCAGGGTGGGGATTACCCAGTTAGGGCAACTCTTTTTGGAGGGAGGATATAAGGTATCATCAAGCAATTTGTGATGATGGTTGCGGCAAGCGCGTCTTTTCTTCAGTACCTTCAAATTGCAAATGTTTTAATTACCCATAAAGGTTGAAAAGCTCACATTACACCACCTACCCCTTCTGAATAACTGGCATATGCGAGCTCAAGAGTGAAAGGTTAATTTCTAAAATCTATGCCATTTAAATGGAGAAGGGGATGGAGAGGAAGACTTCTGGAGGGAAAAAGACCTGGGGAAGGAAAGTAACCTAGAACAATAGAAAGAAATAGGGGAGTGGGGTTATTCATCTGCCTTCTGTTTTCCCAAGGAAAACTTACAGATGACATGTTTCAACTAGGATCCTCCGCTCATTTTTCGAGCGGTGATGCATCAGGTTGGAGAAGCTGCAGAGAAAAAGGCTGCTTTTTCCATATATGATGGTTGTGCCCAGAGTTTCAAATGTTCTGGCGGGCAAGTAACCAGAAATATGACTCGTTGTAGGTGGTACTAACCCTTTGGATCACCTGGTGGGCCTAAAGACTGCCTCGCGAAAGGAAGATTGCTTTGTGCAGAATGAAATCTGTCCTTCTTCCTGTTAACCCCTAGACAACGTATTGCTCAAATGTGGAAGGAATTGCTTTCCCCTCCTCTCCTTCCCATGCAAAAAATACAACATGCTAAAATCTAGTGGTTTTAGTGCAGCACCCTGGTGAACATCATCTTTCCCTTTCAAAGGATCTATATTACCGGTGGTTCTCCCAAGGTGTTTACAGGTTTGACAATATATGTCCTTTATTACTCTGATGCTAGAGAAACAGTCGCATCAGAGTAGTTTATTAGCAACCAACTGGGAAAGATTTAGAAATGCAGCTTTAATCCCTGATCTACACAGAGGACAAAAGCTCACCAGCCAGTAAGCCAGTCTCCAGTTGGATTCTTTGATGAAGGGATATTATTGAATATTATTTTTATATATATAAATCATCATATTGATTTTAGGTGATGTGATAAATTAGAGGTGGTGCTCTCTACTACCTCGGGGGGCCTTCAAGAGGGGGCTGGACAGATATTTGGCTGGGGTGATATGACTGCGGCACCCAATCCTGCCTGGAGCAGGGGGTCGGACCTGGTGATGTTTCCGACCCTAAGCACTACGAAACTATAAGAATTGTAGAAAATGAGGGTTGGAAGGGACCTCAGGAGGTCATTTGGTCCAGCCCCCTGCTCAAAGCAGGACCATCCCCAACTATCCCCAATTATAAGAGCTGTTGTAAATGATGTCCCTTGTAAGCATCTAGTAACTTCAGCCTCGTGCCATTCCTGTATCTTCCCCTCGTTAGAGCTTTGTTTCTAGAGTTCCTGAACAAAAATAAATAAATTCATTAATCATGCCATGGTAATTGTATCTGGAGGATCCCTTTCCTGCTTGCAAGTGCGAGTTGTGCAAAGGAAATGTGGACACTTCACTACACGACAGAACAAAGTTAAGAGTTACGGATTCTGTGAATGGAGTTTGAATGTCACAATCATTTATTTCTCGTATGTCCAGGTTGATTTCCAGCAGCTTGGGCTAAGACACTGGGAATCTGCATTCCCTCTTTACCCAGCCCTTCGTTTCTAATCCTCTGGTCAATGCAGGAGAGATGGCAGCTAAGGTAGGACATCAGCAGGGAGATCTCCATGTGTTGTGTGAGCAAAGTGAGTGCCTGGGGATTCTGGACCAGCATGGTCCAGGGCCATGTGCAGAGCTAAGGGAGCTTCTGGCACCACCCTACAAGGCCCTAGAGGTCAAGGGCAGGAGGTGGATGAATTCCCTGGATCACCCCTGCTAGACATATTGTTCTCCTTGTGACTTGCAGGTATGGAAACCACTTCCCAAAGTTTGGGACTGGTTGCACAACTAAGTTTCCACTGGTGTTACTATGCTAGCTTAGCTGCCCTATGGGTGACATAGCATATGCCAACAGAAGGAATAGCTTCATGGGTTTTTTTCCCTGGGAGGACATGGCTAAGGCAACAAACGCACTCCTCTTTTGGCAGGGTTGAGTCCCTGCCAAAAGCTGTACTCGGATAGGGGTGACAGCAAAGGGGCAGGGAGTTTTGCATCCCAACCTAGAGTACTTGTGCTAGCAAAGTGCTGTAGGGTAGTGTAAGCCTCAAGGTTGTGGCTGGATGAGGCTGAGTGTGAACCCTTGTGATGGCAGCTCCAGGTGGTGTTTGAGGACGTGGCGCTGTACTTCACGCGGAAGGAGTGGACGCTGCTGGAAGATGGAGACAAGGCGCTTTATCGGGAGCAGATGCTGAGGAATTACCAAGCCCTCGTTTCATTAGGTAAAGCTCCGTTCCTTGCTTCTCCCCCCCGGCTGTGTGAACTCTGAAATGTCTCCTCCTAGCTTATCCTTCTGCAGAGTTGGCAGGTGGTTTAAATCCACTTTCTGTGTACTGCTCTGTCATTGATCTTGGTCTTTGTTACCAGTAATATTTTCCTAGCCTCCCTCTAACCTTCTCCAGATGACTTCCTTGGCTTGTTTCTTGCTCTAAGTCCTGCATCTTCCACATCCAGCATTTTCTTCCCAAGATGACCAACCGCCTTTGGTCTCCCAAATGCCCACAGGATGCCAAACATGCCATTCATAATTGGTCGCTGGGAACTGTGACTTGTGACATTTGTTCTTACTTCATCTTGCTTCTTGTATCTTGTCCAAAGACTTACCAAACCCAGCATGCATGCTTCAGTGGCCTCTGATCCTTTCCCATCTCTTTTGATTACTCCTCAGCCCAAGACAGTGGAGCTCTTATCAGACTCTCCTGCTTCTTCACCTAGCTGTTCCAGTTCCTCCACTCATCCCCTAATGATATCCCTTTATGCAAGATGGAAACCAGATCTTTCTTATAAAGAGTCACTGACATTTTGGCTCTTGTTCTGTTGTTATATCTCCAGCTGCACAAACTATGGATTCTGCCTTTGCTGCATTGACTTTGAGACCCTTGGTATCCTGCTTACTCTTCTGTTCCATGGCTTTCTTCTTCACTTATTTGAAGCCTGTTATAAGATCCCTCCTCAGTCTTCTCTTCTCCAGACTAAATAATACCAATTCTTTCATCTTTACAGCATAAGTTAGCTTCCCAGCGCTCTAATCATGTTGGTCCCTTTCTATAAGACACTTTTCAATCTGTCCATACCTTATTGAAGCATGGGACACAAAACTGGACACAATACTCCAGGTGAGGTCCTCACAGTACTGAGTAGAGTGGAAGAATCGTAGAAAATTGGGGTGGAAAGGGACCTCAGGAGGTCAAATCTAGTCCAACCCCCTTCTCCAAGCAGGACCAGCCCCAATTAGATAATCCTAGCCAAGGCTTTGTCTAGCTGGATCTTAAAAACCTCCAAGGATGAAGAGTCTACCACCTCTCTGGGTGACCTGTTTCAGTGTTTTACTACCCTCCTTGTGGGAATATTCTTCCTAATGTCTAACTTACGCTTCCCAGGCTGCAACTCGAGACTGTTGCACTTTGTTCTGTCATCTCTCACCACTGAAAACGGTCCAGCTCCATCCTCTTTCGAACTCTCCTTCAGGGAGTTGAGGGCTGCTATTAAATCCCCTATCAGTCTCCTCTTCTCTAGACTAAATAAGCCCAGTTCCCTCAGCCTGTCCTTATAAGTCATGTGTACCCAGTCACTTCCCTTGATTTCCAAGTGACACTTTGGTGAATACAACCCAGGATGCTGTTGGCTTTTTTGTCAACAGGAGCACACTGTTGGTGCATATTCAGCTTATGGTCTGCTGTAACCCCCAGGTTCTTCTCTGCCGTACTGTGGCCTCGCCGGTTGTTCCTCAGTCTGTATTCGTGCATGTGGTTATTCTGCCCCAGGTGCGGGACTTTGCACTTGTCCCTGTTGAATCTCGTCTCACTGATTGCAGACTATTTCTCCCATCAGTTCAGGTCGTTCTGAATCCTCCTGAGTGTCCACAGTTCCACCCAACTTGGTGTCATCCACAAATGGAGCAATCATGCACTTCAATCCCACTGTCCAATTCACTAATGGACAGATTAGACAATACGAGATCCGGGGCAAGACCCCTGGGGAACCCAGCTTGACCCCTGGGGAACCCAACTTGGTACCTCCTCCCAGCTAGACTTTAAGCCATTGATGACTACTCGTTGAGCACAATGATCCAACCAGTTATACATCCACCTTGCAGTTCTTGTATCTAGTCTGCATTTCCTTAGCTTGCTGATGAGAATGTTGTGGGAAACAGTGTGCAAAGCGTTGCTAAAATCAAGGTATATCACATCCATTGCTCTTCCCTCATCCACAAAGCCTGTCACCCTACCATAGAAGGAAATCAAGAAGCAAGTCAGGCATGACTTGCTCTTAGTGAATCTGTGGTGATTGTTCCTGATCACCTTCTTCCCAAGGTGTCTTGAAGACCAGGTCTGTGATCTTTCCAGGTATTGTTTGCAGTTTCCTGGATCCTCCCTCTTTTCCGTCTTAAAGATGGGCACTATATCTGCCCTTTTCTGGTTATCCAGGACCTCGCCCAATCTTCATGAGTTATCAAAGAGGATTCGCCCATGGCTCTGAGATGACCTCAGCCAATTCTTTCAGTATCCTAAGGTGCATCCAGTCTGTCCCTGCCAACATGAAAGCATCTAGCTTCTTTAAGTGATCTCTAACCTGATCTTCCACTACTCTGGGCTGTCTGTCTCCTTCCCTATCTTTGCTGCCATGATCTGGTAGCTGCCCCTATTTATGAAAACCTGGTGCTTATCATCTGGTAGCTGCCCCTATTTTTGAAAACTGAAGTAAAATGGGCATTAAATATTTCAGCCTCCTCTGCATCATCCATAACTAGATTGCCCCCTAAATTCTCTAAGAGACCTATTGTTTCTCTGGTCTTCCTCTTCCTTTTGATGGATGTAGAGAATCCCTTTTTATTGTTTTTAATGACCCTTGCCAGGTGCATCTCCACTCATGCCTGGCCTTCCTAATCGTCTCCCTTGCGGGTTCATACAATATTATTATATTATAGGTCACCATTCATCTGGAAACATCTCTACTCTTTTCTAAGTCATGGGCAGTAACCATTGTTCACCATCCTCTCTTAATACTTAAGTCAGGCACATTGGCCTGTTCTGTTCCCATTTTTTTCCATTTACCTGGTCCTACCTGGTGTCTGGCTCCCCACGATAAGGAGGGCAAAGGCAGTGGAGGGGACAGACAGAGTTTGTGGTGCCTGGAGCCAGAGTTGCAGCAGCCACATACCGCCCCCCCAGCCTCATACTTGGATCCAAGACGAGAAGCCTTCCTCTCCCCCCATATTGAACACGGTGGGGAATCTCATCTTAGCTTCAAGTAAATATGTTATTATGAAATCTTACTTTATTAACCAGCCACCACTTTTGAGATGCTCGTATCTTATTCTGGAACAGGACCGATGTCACGTGGATTTTTGCACGCTCCAAGAACATATTCCCTCCCTTTTCTTTTCTCTTTTGTCCGTATGGACTAACACCCGTGGACTGTCACTCTGCAGGTGTCTCACACTGCAGAAGTTACCCACCTATGTGTTCATATCCACTCTTATCCTGATCATTTAAGTGAGTGGGAGAACTGTTGGAGTTGCATCTATTATTCTCATGATAGTCCCCTTTTCTTTTTGACCATAGCCTACTTCTGGAGCGTTTGCCATGACAATATGAATAATTTTCCTATGTACTCTAAAGTGTCACTGGGCACGTCTACACATTCATGAATGTGTCTTAGATATTTTGCATTTAGTTTGGTACTTCCTCAATAAAGCACTAACTAAATGCTCAGTACTTAGAGTTACTGCACAGTAGCGCCAGCGCATGGTTATTTAGTGATGCTTACTGCGCTTTAGCCTAATAACACTGCGCAGCAGGCCAGGGGTGTTCAACCTTTTTTAATAAGTGTACCCCTGGTGACCCCCTTTTCCATAAGTGTACCCCCGGGGAGGGGAGAGTGGTGAGCGGCCAGACGTTGCAGGGTGGGGAAAGCGGTGGCAGTGCCACGTCTGTTGTGCGGCCTTGCTCTGGCCTTGTCCCAGCCCTGTTTCTGTAAGGCAGCAGCACGGGGTGGCAGCGCTCTGTCCCTGCCCACCCCCATGTACCCCCTGGGACCCTTCAGAGTACCCCCAAGAGTGTGCATACCCCTGGTTGACCACCCCTGCAGTCGGCTAGTAGCATGTTTTTTGCCGTGACACGCTACTGCGCAGTGCTATTACTCCAAAGCGCAGCAAGCGTTGCGTGGCTCATGTAGACGTGCCCACTGTCACCTATCTGTTTCCCTCCAAGAGTCGTTATACTTTCACTGACAATGAACCCATTTATTTTTCTGTAATTAATGTTATCCTGATGACCTAGAATATATCCATCCATAAACCTGTTTATTCTCTCTCTTTTCCATGTGGGATTTGAATACACACAGTCTTTTTTGGGACATGACAGCTTTCTGAACCTTTGCCCATGTTTCATAGTGCCACTGTGAGTTTTTTATAACCTTTATGTACTTCTTAGTGGTTGATGCTTTACCTTTTTATATGACCATCTTTCCATAGACTTGGGTGAAAAGGGCCATCGTCTTTCATCCTAAACAGACAGCTTTCCATTTTCCCTCAAAGGCCCATTAGGAAATGTCAGTCTATTGGAACGATTTCATAAATCTCAATTGGGCACCGGGCAGAGAATAAAGAGCCATAACTATCATTAATGCACTTTGCTGAATAGGACATCGAGGTCCCACGCCGGACTTAATCTGCCGCATCCAGCGAGGGGAAGTGGAGCTCAGTGTCCATGACCATGAGGACTCTGGAGAAAGTGCACTGTCTGAAGGCTCGTTCCCAGGTGAGTGGTATAACTACCCCACACCCCCATCCTCAGAAACGGTCTGATCTGAGAGTGACAGGAAGAATTGCAAACCTCCAACCCTTCCCTGAGCTGCCGCCGCAAGGGACTGACCTTGCATGGCTCATGTTGATCTGAGATGGTCCTGCAAGTCTGTTTTCCCACAGTTCAATCGTACGTTCAATAGTTCCCTTCTCCCTACCTCGCATTTCACATCTCCCTTCTCTCTGGAGCTTCCCCCTTCCTCTTCCATGTCTCTCTGCCGTGTAGGG